TATTATTATTATTATTATTATTATTATTATTATTATTATTATTATTTTAATTTCAATATCGAAAAATTTACACAGCACAATAGATTTAATAGAATTGATAAAAAATATTATTACTCGATCGCGCAAGATTTAGGAGCTGTAAATTCAAAAAAATTGCTAAACGTTAGCGCTAAAAGAAAGAAAGTATTATTTAAAAAAATAATTTTTTAATCAATACGCAATTATTTCAAAAGTAACACTTGCGGACATAAAAAATATCTTTCACTCGATCAATGATGTATATCTTTCATCCAATGGGAAACAAGATCAGAATTCGTCCAATAGGAACTGGTGGGGAAATTAGTAAACCCAGTCCTGAGCCATAGGTTCAAGTTACGACTCAACGGGATGTGTGATATACCAAGCTAGTCAAAACTAGTGCTCCGAAAGGGGACTTGAACGACCCGAAACTGCGGTTATAATGATTTTAGTAAATTTCTTTATATGGGTCATGATCCATATACTAAATTTATTCGAATCGTTCAGATCAATCACATTCGAAGCACTATCAAAATTATGGTGTTATAATAATTCTTTGCAATTTTTAAATAAGTGGTTTAGACTAAAATTTTGTAATGATTAATATTATAAATCTATTAACAAAGTTATACCATTTTTTATTATAAACACGAAAAATTCGTCCTAAAAAAATGACTAAATAAACATTAAATAAAATATGGCTTCGTAACATTGTTTATAGTGATATTGTCGTGCTTGAAGTTAGCATGTGACTTCAAGCTCTTGAAGTTTAATCTGCCTAAACTTGCTAATGCTAATTAATGCATGCAGGAAGATCTAATTTCAGGGGCTAATTTCAGTCAGTCACATGACAACTTCAAGCACGACAATATATCCTAAACCATGAACGGTTAAGGCTACTGTTACGGGCTAAGATAAACCGCGCCTCAATAGTAAACTCTTGGAGGCTTGGATGTTTGTCGGCCGAAGGTCATTGAGAAAGATGAGCCATGGAAAACAACAAAATGCAAGCACTTAAGCCTCTTTATTAGTTATTTAAAGAACGTAACCTGGGTAAAGTTACAACATTTACGTGAGAGGTAGAGGCACATAGGAATACTAACCCATGATTAGAGCTTCTGGTGAAATTAATTTCACCAAATTTCATTTTCAGCATCTTTACTCATGATAATTCTTCTCTTATCATAATATCTCAGATGTTGACCAAATCACCATAGTCACGCCTCTGGCGAGCAGCTTTTCCCATTGTATTCGTTCATATTATCGTTGTAAATTAAATTCCACCGTGACACTACGCATCTGTTTAAAGATCGCAAAGTATCACATATACCTAAGTAAAATTATAATATATGAAAATCTTGGCTGATAAGTTTTTTATATAACACCATATATGGCCTCCACAGCAAAAGGAGGGGATGAGCAAAAAATTTTTAATTAAAAAATCTAGTTTTTTAGCCCATCACCTTTTGCTGTGGGGGAGTCCCATATATAATTTTGATTTATATTATACTGTATATCGCACACCCAGTGGCTTAGGTTGTGACACAAATAGTCATGGAACCACAATTTTAAGAAATTGAATCAAGTTATCCAAGCCGTTAAAGGATCTAATCTTTGGATTGTTGGATATTTTCATCTGTACATGTTGCAACATTGATATTCGATCAGGAATTAAGATTTAACCAGTCCTTTTTTTAAATAATCTAAAATCTATTAATGCTGAAAAGATGTATAACATCTAGCCACGTTATTGTAAGTTAAACCCTTTTTTTTAAAAAAAATAATATATCTTTATTGAAATGCAACCAATTCTATAGTAGAAAAATAAAACGTACATATGAAGAAATTACAACCTTCTTTTATTTTCAGGTATGCTTAATAAATAATTCGTCTATTCGTTTATGTCGATATGTAATATTCATCCCATCTATAGGAAAACATGCAGTCCCCATTATACATGTCGAAATTATTTCGACTTGAGTCGAAACCATTACGGCTTATGTCGTAAATTGTTCCGAATGAGCCGAAATAGTTACGGCCATATGAAAAATCCCAATGAACAAAATCCAGTTCTATTTTATTTGATTTCGTTTGTCGGGATATCGCATTAAACCCCGAAAATATTAAAAATCCAAATCCTCAGTCATATTACATAAACTATTTAGGCTTTCGAAAATTATTTCGGCTCTTCTGAATGTTTTCTTAAAAAATTCAGAGCTCTCAATGGAATCTTTGTAAGCGGTAAGAGTGCCAAGACGTCTCTGTTGTGCAGCGAGGATCGTCTGTTTAATTCGCTTTTCCAAATATTCAATCGATAAATCAATCTTTACATCGCTTTGCATCATTATACGTTCTGCTTCGTTATCAACGAAATTTGTTTGGCTTAATTGATCTCGTATTTTTAAAGCTATTTTTCGTATTATAGAAAGTCTCATATTACAAAGAATATATTTTACAAAAAGACCAATGCCTATCGGGTGTATAAAAGAATAAATTGACATTTAGTAAGTCATAAATGGTTTAGAAGCATAAACCAAACTTACCTGCTATGCATAATAAACGTGATACCCAGCGTTGCGTTTTAGGCAACCCTAGAAAATTTGTAACCCCCAATAAATTCGCAAATGTAAGTATTTTTGAAGTTGCTGCGAGTGTAATGCGTCTATCATCGTTTGTACTCGGGTCACGGCTTTGTTTGAAATAGAAAAATTCCAAGAAATAAAATTGAATGATGTAAGCTGAAAGCGTAGGGCCGGAGTACGTTTCTTCAAGGTTGATTTCGTTATATTCTCCTTCTAATCTTTCTGCCAATGAATTTATTTTAGAAATACAAATATCAACTTGTCTTTTTGCTTTTATCTCGCACATAGAAATTTCCTCCGAAATTTCCTTTATCATAGCATCACGGACACTGTTTGCAAAGCTTAATGTTGAAAGTACCCCACGAAAATCTAATTTACTAATATTGGACTTTTGTTCCATATTAACGATGGCATTTATTGTCCTGTCTTTTGTATTTTTGTAAATAAAATTAGCTGTTGTTTTGGCGTATTTTCTGGCTTTTGAACTAATTTTATCTAAATCTTTGCATAATTGCTCGTAATCTGCTTTATCCTCTTCGAGTTGTCGTTCGAACTTTTCGGACTCACATGATGCCATATATAAATTGAATTCTGCAACAATTCCAATATCTATAACAAGTGAACGAAGGTAATCTTGTGCTGGTACAAATATGGTCTTTAATATTTTTTTAGTTACTAAATTACCTAAAGATTCTCTAAGTTGATGGAGATCATTCGCGACATTGAAGGAAAGCTTTTTTTTGGTAGGTAAAAAATGAAGCAATTCTACATCACGCTTAATGCTTGGGCATAATTCTGCAATTTTATTCGTGACCATCTGCTTGCAATTTACTTTGTCTGAAATATTATCAAACTGATTTAACACAATAAATAAGTTGTTGCTTTCATCAAAAGTATTAGATTTAGATAACAATTCTTTGACCGACGACGACACAATACGATTCTCAGAACTAGCTATAAACATAAAGGCATCTCTGATTTTAATAGTGTCATGAAGAAAATTGGAACAATCAATTAAAGCAATATCCACAAATTTGTCATGTAGAAGACTCTCTTGGATGTAACGGATGTTTTTACAGTAAACCTTTATGAGTTAAGATTAAAGTAATGAGTAGCTATATAAATAATATATGAAGAGCCATAAACAAATATACCTTTATACAAGCAATCTCTTTGGTAGAATTACTGATAGTATTATATAGATCCGCTAACGGGATTATTGAATATGTTGCTGGATCTTTTCGATTATATTTTTCAATATCTTCAATAGCATGAACTTCTTCTTCACCAGAGTTATCCTTTACATTTAATACTTCACAGAAAAGAATCCTTTCCATTTGTAGCTCCATTGGCAATATTCCATGATGCATAAGAGCATTTATCAAGGATTTTTTCCTTGATTTTACATCTCCTATTACTAAAATTTTCAAGCATGGATCAGACACACGGGCAGCAAGAGTATCTAACCTTTTTATGCTTTGGTTTATGCGTTTGTTTAATAAGAAAGAAATAGTACTCGGATTAATAGTACTCGGATCAAGTTCTACAATATCTTCAGCAGATGTCATATTTTTGTATCTAAGATAAATGTTTAAGACATCATGTTGAGGCTCGTCCACTATGTTTTGACGTGCATTTAATCTTTCAAGAACTCGTTTACGAAAATTGTTTGATTGATCATAGATTGATGATTGACGATATTCATAATTATTTCTAAGACCACTAAAAGGATATAAGATATCAAAACCTTCTTGACTTAACTCTCTAAATTGCATCAAGATGGATTTTGTACCTATCAAAAGCTTTAAAAGCTTGTCACTATTATGTACAAGCGATCCGTTTTCTCCTTTTTCTGTCGACGATTCAAATAAATATTCATTTTTTTCAGAAGGTGCCAAAGGTGTCTCAGACACATTATCTCCTGCGGCAGCAGCCTCAGCAGCTGAAATAAATGATAAAGATATTTGCACAAGCTTAAAAGGATTTATTGAATATGACATCGTGAAAATAAACTAATAAAGATATTGGTAAGAAGCGCTTCCAGAAGTCCCAAGACGCCTCTGGGCTGTACTTGAAAATTGTCTTCCAACATGTATCCTACTTGTATCTTTGATTTTCATTTTGCATAGACTTGTTTTCAAAATACCGGTGTTTGCATTAGTTCTACTTTCCCTACGTGGCCTTATTTAGTTGGAATGAATACAATAGTGCATGTGAACTTCAAACAAGAAACTCTTCCGGGTAAGGACGAAGCCCCACAATTCTTAATTTGGTTTTATTGTTATGCTCATCAGATCATCATTTATAGGGTAAGGAAATGATCTAATAAGAAACTAGCTTAGGCAAAGATAACATTCTTTTTGATTAATTGCCACATTATTAAATGTGATTGGCTAAAAAAAACTGTTACACGAGATTCATTCAGCATGAACACAAATGGTAATGCTGTAATGCGATGTAAAACCGCATTTTAATAATTTTAATAACAGTTTTAGCAATATTTTGACTCGAATTTTAGTGCCAGAATCCTGTTACGATTTAATGATTTCACCAAATTTTGCTTTAAAGTTATGCAATCGTAGAATTGGGATCCTATTCGGTATTATTCAGAAGTCTGTAACTGATTCAAACTTAAACTAAGTTTGAGGCTAAGTCCAAAGTGACTTTCATATGATACGTATTATGTCAGCATTTTATCATTTTGAACCACAAAGTCGATAAATTTTATAATCATTTTTCCAGGGAAAACTTGTAAATCAATTTTTTGATTTTACTTCGCCGGACTTAGCCCCGAAGTTTTACCCTTATTTGGGTCATTTACTATGAAAATCACTTGCTTTCAAATAGCGATTTTCCTCATTTAGGTTTACTAATTTTCTAAGTGTCTCGTCTCTGATTGGACGAAATAAATTACACAGCTTTCGATCAGATATGTACGTACGTACGTACGTACCATGAAGTCAAATCAAATACGGTATGCTTTTTAATAATAACGATAAGACATATCGTTATGGTTAATATTGAGTCCAGATAGAGGTTAATATATGCAAAGAAGGTTTTTTGTTTTAGGACGTGAAAAGTAGTGATGGTACCCGATATCCGACGGGTAAACCCGCGAATTACCCGGGTGATCGACGGATATATCCGGATATAAAATCCTACCCGATGTACCCGGGTAGAGTTAATTATAAAATTCTATATTCAAGCGTATATAGATCGCATTCTATTCAGATCGAACGTTTCGCTATTACATACGATTTGTATTTATTGAAGTGCCTACTTTATTTTGGTTGATCGCTTAATTTAGTATGTACATACGTATACAGAAATATGACATCTTCGCTGGTAAATAATCGAAAAAAATTTAGGCTTATCACTTAGGTGTTAGCATATTTTAAGTAAGTCGGATTCTCAAGAGATATGAATGTATTGAAAGACTTCTGTCACTTCAGAAAAACCATGCTCATTAAACATGAATGATATAAAATATTTTAAAATATTAATTAAGAAAAACCTGATTGGTATTTTAATAAAGTGTTGCAATCTGAGAGAGAATTTTGGTTAAACATAAAATTAATATTATGGAAATTTAGTCTCTAAATAACTTGGATATACAAAAAAAGGTAATATGTTATATATGTATAGTATATTAGTGCATATTGTTTAATATATTATAATAAGAGTTTAATTTATATCTTGTTTTTTATATATTTCTTTTTAAGTTTTATTGTTGATAAAAGTAGTTTTTGATAAATTTTCATACATACTAAGCACCCAATATATTGGATAAGTATTCAAATGAATTTTAATTATGCTAACAAATTTTTATAATTATTTTGTAAAATAATCATTTTATATATCATACCAAAATTACAAACTTAACCAAATTGGTCAAAAAACTATATAGTTAATTTAGCAGATATTCCAAAATTATGTAAAAGGTTGAATATATTTCTGCCCAGAGATCTGCTTTTACCAACAATCATTTTACTAACAACTTATTTAATCAATATTATACAATTAATACTAATCTTAATTCTATATAATGTTAGTTAAATAAACTTTAGTAAAGTGAACTAAAATATATTAAGAAATTAAAATACTACAAAAATCAAGTATTAAACTTTATCTAGATATTATTTTATTATAAGCTTATTTATATTTAGTTTTATATTTAGTTAGCATAACTCAAATATTTAATTTAGATATATTTTATCTGAATATTATTTAAGTATACTTATTCAGATAATTACATTTACAATCTGAATATCTAATTATCTGCAGATAATTCAAATAATAGTATATGACAAAGGTTTTCCTGCACTCCTAGATCTCTTAAAATTATCTGTAGTATTTTCAACCTTTTTGTAAACAAATAAGGTCTTGAATATAGGTCCTTATATATTCTACAAATTGATAGATTCTTTTAGTAAGTATTTATTATATAAATATTATGTAATCTTAAATATATTATTACTGTATAAATTCTTTTAAATTTTATATAAACTTTTTTCAACAATTATATAATAAATTTTGATGATTAAGACTTCTTTTAAATTTTACAATTTCATAGAATTAAAATTGATTACTTCATTGCTAAATAATATTATTAAAAGTTTGTTAAAAAATTAAGTAAAATTTAATTTTTAATAAATTTCTAACAATAATATCGAAGCAATAAAATAATCAATTTTGATATTTAAGAGTTATTTTGAATTTTACAAAACTGCAGAATTCAAATGAGATTTCAATTATCAAAATTGATTATGTTGTTATTAAGTTATATAAGTTTATATTTTTAAAAAAAATTTTAACAATACTACTTAAAATTTAACAATTATCAGTATTTTGAATAAGGATATTTCAACAACAAAATGGTCAATTTTTATGTTTAAAGATTTTTTTGAATTTTATAGATATATAAAATTTAAAAGAATTCTCAAATGTTGAAATTGATCATTTTATTATTAAGATGTACTCATTTAAAATCTTTGTGTAATTTTCATATTTTGTAAATATATGAAAATTTATAATCATGCAATATATAATACAGAAGGCTATAAAATATATAGATGATTACATTCATAATATTCTTTATACACAAAATCTTAAAGCATTATGTAAGATTTTGAGAACTTTTTATAGAATGTGGAGAACTTTTATTAGGCACTGTAGATGCTATTACTAATAAAAGTATTTGCAAGTAAAAGTAAAAAATTTTTAAATATTTTTTTTGTTTGTAATTTTATCTAATATTTGTAATTAGTTCAAATTTATTAGCTAAACTAAGTAAATATTTTTTTACTAGCTAAGTCATAGTTTTTTAATTGATTAATTAAAATTATATAATTTAAAATAAATAATTTTAATTAATTACTGAATCTGATATATATATATATATTAGTATATATATTAGTATTTATAGTTAATTATAATTTATTAACTTGACTAATTTAGTATTTAAACTTGGTTTTATTAGCTAAATCAAAGTTGATTATTTTTAATTTTTATTTCTTTTTTTCAGCAATCCTGTTATTTTATTATGAAAGCAGACTTTCATTCTTATATTAGCTAATGAAGAAATTTAAATCTATAGTACTAGAAGATAAACTTACCCACAGTTTTATCTTACAGATACCATAACACCCACCTGCAATCAGGGTAAACTATTAAACTGCTGTATTATGCCCAAATACAACCTGTTTAATAAATAATTGGCTTCCTCCAGAGATCTAGAACTTACTCTAGACTTATTTCTTCTGGATTTCTCGGTTAGCTATTGCACTGCCCCATCAAGATTCTTATTCTACAATAGAATGCTATCAAACTGATGACACTTTCTTGTAGGAAGGAAAAAAGAAAAAAAGAGATAATAAAGAATAAAAAAAAAGAGGTATATAATAAAAATTAATACATTAAAGAAAATGGATATTAATACTAAAGAATAAAAATTTAAACTAAAGCCTAAAAGAAACTATTATTAAAAAGAAAAAACATTGCTAATTAGACAAAAACTTCTAATTATACAAAATAACAATCTACTATTAAGTGCAATAGTCTTGACAAAAATATAAAACTATAACAAGATGCACTATAACTCATGTCAGAGGCTAAAAATTATATACAAGAGATACATTATATATTTCAATACACTTTGTTTGACTTTTTTTGTTAAATCTATATCTTTATCTAAAAGTATAAGAACTTTAAAAACTCTATATAAATTTGTTGTTATCATTTCATTCATTTCATTACACATGCTGATTTGTCATCATCTAGTTTTTCGATATGGAAGTGGTAAACAATGCTAATCTTTTGAAAGAATAAGCTGAATTTCCCACTTTTTGTCAAAAATTTTGGAGCTAAAAGACAACAAGAAAATATTGAGTTTCTGTAAGTTTTCTAACTAAGGAGTATTGTTCCAAGAGTTTTTTAGTCTTTTATCTTTAAAAAAACTTGAGTCTTCTTTCTACTTGCTGTTTTTAGAAACTTCTCCTGTTTAAATATCAAATACAAAAGGAGTCTATCCAAAAAATAGCAAAAAATTAGGCATGATCCCTTTCAAACTTTCTAAAATATCCACTTTTGGTATATCACATTTAAAGACTTCATTAACAACAGTTCATATTAAGAAACTTCAAGTTGTCATTAACTTCTAGGTTTGAATCTTCAACTTGCTTTCAGTATTAGATTGATACAAGTGATCATTAGAAAGAATTCTCTATTTTTTGATTATTTTTAACTTTTAGAAATTATCTAATATTAAAAAAAATGACTGTTGCTAACTTGCCCCATGGTAATGTCACCCAGAGTACTGTATCTCAAAAACCTACTAGCTAACACATGTCAGGATACTAAGCAAAAATGTTCAGAACCCCAAAAAACTAACTCTAACTAAAATTTGGACCTTTATATCTAGCCCTTATTTTTTTCTAAAACTGCACCCTAACCCTAAATTTTGATAAAAATTAAAGGTGATGACATCATTACTGATTAAAAA